CCTGTAATCCTAGCTACTCAGGAGACTGAGATCTGAGGATCACAGTTCAAAGCCAGCCTGGGCAGGAAAGTCTGTGAGACTCTTATCGCCAATAAACCACTAGAAAACCAGAAGTTGCGCTGTGGCTCAAGCGGTAGAGTGCTTGCCTTGAGCTGAACAACACAGGGACAGTGCCCAGGCCCAGGGTTCAAGCCCCACGACCGAACAACAACAACAAAAAGGCCAAGTTAAAAATCATTTTTGTGGGCTGAGAAGGCGGCTCAGTGGTAGAGTGCTTGCCTTGCATGCATGAGGCTCTGGGTTCGATTCCTCAGCATAAGCAAAAAGAAAAAAAGCCGGAAGTGGTGCTGTGGCTCAAGTGGTAGAGTGCTAGCCTTGAGCTGAAGAGTTGAGGGACAGTGCCCAGGCCCAGAGTTCAGGCCCCAGGACTGGACACCCCCCAAAAATATCATTTTTGTAAAGGTCCTATTAATAGAAAATTATTCTCTAAGCCAGGTGCCGGACAGGAAAGTCCGTGAGACTCATCTTCAATAAACCACTAAAAAATTGGAAGTGCTGCTGTAGAGCGCTTGCCTCGAGCTGAAGAGCGCAGGGATAGCGTCCAAATCCAGAGTTCAAGCCCACGACTAAATCCTTCTCTCTCCCCATATTCCTTTGGCATTGAAAGAGATCTTATGGTAAACAAAGTGCTCATTTAGAGAATAATTTTCTTTTCTTTTCTTTTTTGTCGGTCGTGGGGCTTGAACTCTGGGCCTGGGTGTTGTCCCGTAGCTCTTTAGCTCAAGGCGAGCGCTCTACCACTTGAGCTACAGCGCCACTTCCGGTTTTCTGGTGGTTTTATTGGAGATAGGAGTCTCAAGGTCTCTCCTGCCCGGGCTGGCTTTGAACCACGATCCTCAGATCTCAGCCTCCTGAGTAGCTAGGATTACAGGCGTGAGCCACCAGCACCTGGCTAATTTTCTTTTCTGTCAGTCATGGGGCTTGAACTCTTGACCTGGGCAGAAAAATGTGCATGGCAGGGTGCTCTGTATGTTCTATTTTGTAGTGAGAAATCAAAGATAGCTTCATTGTGTTGTTACTTCCAGTCTTGGCTCTTTGCTGCAGCTTTGAAAGCTTGTTAATCTCTTTGGGTCCCCCTCTTTTTCATTTGTCTCCTATGCTCCCCCAAGGGAATATCATTTGACACTCTACAACTAGAGCTGTCCTGACCTCACTAGTTAAATATTTTCATGTGCATTTATTGGTTTATATTAGTCATACACCCACGATCCAAAATGTAAAAAATACAAATGGAGGATTCAATGGCTGTGTCCCACACCGGCTTCTCTCTGAGTGCCCTGGTCCCAGTTGCTAGTTTTATTTTGCATACTCAGAAATTTCAAGATGTCACAAATGAAAACATTACGACTCAGTTTAACCTAAAAGAAAAGGATTTATTCTAAGGCAAGACTGCTCAAGCTGCATTTGCTCTCCTCATAGCCTCACCCAAGTTTTCAGATTTTTCAGTCACAACTTAACTATTAAATAGTCACAGCACCTTGCCAAGGAGTTTTGACTTTGAACTTGCTAATGTGTAAAGGAAATGGTTCCACCACTTCTGTGTATCTTGGTTATTGGGGACCAGTGGCATATGCCTGTAATCCCAGCTACTCAGGAGGCTAAGAGCTGAGGATTGTTTTTCGAAGCCAGCCCAGGCAGGAAAGTCCACAAGACTATTATCTCCAATAAACCACCCCTCCCAAAAAAACAAAACAGGAGCTGTGCTTCAAGTGGTAGAAAATGAGCTTTGAGAGGAAAAAAACCCACTTTTTTGTATTTATCATTGTTTTAAAAATATTTGCCTTCTGGGTGACATTGTCTAAAAAGAATTGGACTCATTACATGACTTATGAAATGGTAACCCCTCTGTACAACACCTTAATAATAACAATAAAATTATGTTGTAAAAATGTAAATTTGCCTTCTTTTCTTCTCTTGAAGACTGGAGGATTTTTTTTTTTCAACTACTTTGAAAATTATACACTTTAGGCCACGACAAACATGCAAGAAATACAGTATGAATAGGCTGTTGTGCTTAATTCCTCTTTAGGTTATTCTGTTCGCTGACCTCTGACTTATTTTTTAAAATGTGTGTTGAACTAGGAGGACTGATAGCAGATAATGCCCGTCCGGGGATACAATAACGGAATATACTATGATGACTCCAGTTTTAGGAAAATATGCTTGAAACACCACCCTTTCCCGCAAATTTCAGATTTTTACACTGTAAAATAAAAATCCATTTTCTTCTTGTGACAATTTGGATTCGTGGCGGCTCTGGTGGCGGGGCTCAGGGGGTAGCTCGGTGGTTGGGCAGGTGCTCAGGCCACACAGAGACCTGCTCACTCTGCAGCCAGCGCCAGCACGCGGAACAGAAACTTTAAAGTGTAATATTTTCCAAAAACAAACAAACCAACCAACCCTTCGGACCATCAGCCTCCCTCCGCCGGCGTCTGCTATTATTGAAATGTGACTGAGCTACGTGATACTTTTCGCCTGGACCAGAAAAGGGTGCAGGCTTTGCGCATCCCCAACAGGCCTCGACCCTACCGGGGATCGGGACACCCACGCGAGGGTTGCGGGGTGCGGTGTCTGTTAGTTGCAATCCCACCCACTCGTTTTTCTCAGTGGTGCACGGTAGACACCAAGAAGGTCCGATGCCTGCCCTCCATGGACTTCCGTGGGACACGAAGCTCTCGACTGAAGGTTCTATTCAACCAGGGTTGGGCCATTCTGGCCGCTCCTCGCCCCACTCAGGACCAGGTGCCCGGGGTCCGGCGAGGACAGAGCCCACGCGCGAGATCGGCTTTCCCAGATGTGGCCCGACCGGGCGGGGCGAGGCGGGCCCTGCTCCCCGCGCGCGCGCGCCCTTTAATCTCGCAGCCGGGACCCCCGCGCGGCGTCGGGAGGGCGCGCTTGCCCGGCTCGCTCGGGTCCCTCCGCCGGGCGCCCTCGGGCCGCGCCGCCCCGGGCCCTCTCTCCGCCCCGGGGGCTCGCCGCTCGCCCACCTCTTCCAAATTTAACCATTACCTAAATCCGAAGGGAAATGAGCAAACCTCTGGGATTGGGTGTCAAGGTATTTTCAGCCTCGTTGGGCGTATTTATCCCCAAGTGTTTCCACAACAAGCTATTTCGGGGCGGCGGGGCAGGTTGCGCTCTGCGGACGCCGCGGTCACCCGCCGGGCTCCAGGCCGGCGGCAGCGAGGCCCGCTGATTCACGGCCGCCACCCGGGGGTGGCGCGGCCCCAGCAGGCGACGGGATGGGGGGGGGGTTCCGCAGCCAGAGAGGCGGGGAGCCCCCATTCCCCCAGCGATCGGCCCTCACCCCCCACTCCCCTAGCTATCGGCCCTCCCCCCCACTCCCCCCCCCCACACCCCGCCCGTCAATCTGTGTCCCGAATCTGTGACTTCTCGCTGCGGAAGTCTCTGGGGGAGCCAAGAATAGTTCGATTTTCTTTCTAGTCATTTCCAGTGCCTGGGTGGCCAGACCTCCAGGTTCCCCATCGATGGCCCCCGCCGTCCCACAGAAAACGTGGGGAGGGCCGGGTGGAAAGACCCGGGCTGGGGGTGGGGGGCAGCTCCTGACCCGGGTGCCGAGGCGCCCCCCCCCGACGGGGAGGGGGATGGGAGCGGCGGGTCCCGGGCCAGCGCGCCGCGCGCTCGCAACGCTCAGGAAGTGAAGCTGCGGCTTTGGGGGCTGAGCTCGGAAGGAGATTTAAAAGAAAAAAAAAAAAAAAAAGCCAGCGCGCTCGATCTACCCGAAAGCAAGATTCCGTGTGAACACGCTCTGCCGGGTGCCCGCACCCCGACCCCGCAGGTAGGTCTGCGGGGGCTTCCCCCCCCCCCACTCCCTGGCGGCGGGGGCGGGGCTCGAACACCAGCCCGGCCCTGATCCGGGGGAGGAGCGCGTGCCAAGGGCGCAAGCGGGACCCCGGCCGGGCGGGCGTCCGGGGGTGCCCGGAGTGGGGGGGGTGCCCGGAGTGGGGTTGGGAGGTAGAAAAAGGAGGCCCAGGAGTGAGATTCACCGCGTGGAGGGGAGATGGCGAGGCGGCCGGGGCGCCCGCGCGGGCCGCGTGCGGGGAGAGGCCGCCCCGCCCCCCGGGCGCCAGCTGCGGCTCGAGGCCGGCTTCCCACGCGCTGCGCCCGCGCGGCGGCTCCCCGCTCCGGCCCGGGAACCAGGAAGGCCGGCTGGGGTGCGAGACGGGCCTAGGGGGACAGGAAGCAGGGGAGGCCGCCTCCCTGCTCACCCGGTCCCACGCGACCCCGGGCCACGCCTCGACTTCCCGCGCGGACACTCGTGGGGAGGCCGTCCGCGCCTTCTCACCCGTTTTCCTTCCAGATTTGAGGGTGGCTTTGAAAACGGCTTTATTATTATTTTTTTTAATGTTTAACGTTCGTGCTGTAGACTTGCCCAGTTCGAGGGGTGCGGGGGAAAAATGAAGGTGTAGAGCCCCAACTCTAGGGAGCCCACGCCAACGGAGGCGGGTACCCCGAAAGGCGTCCTGCCGCGCAGATCATGGGAAACGTGACGGGGAGTTCCGAGCCCGCCCTCCCCGTCCTCCCTCCCCAGGAGACCCTGCTCCCCGGGGGACGGGGACGCGATCGCGCCCGGGGTCCGGAGCAGGGTTTGGAGGGGGGAGCGTGCGGCTCGTGTCCTTTATCCCGAGTCAGCCGGTTCGGTAGTGTCAACTGCACGGGGTCCGAGGATGAGGGGAGCCGAAGATCGGGAAATCCCCGAAGATCGGAGGGGGGGCCGAGGATCAGGGGTGGGGCTCGGGCCTGGAGCCCGCGTGCCCGGATTCCTGAGATCGGCGAGGGCCTCGTCGAGCGGCTGACCTGGACAACGTGCAGCTCACTCGGAAACCCGGCGTCCGTGGCCGTGGCCCCGGGAGGGCGGCAGATTCGTTTACCCCCGCCCCGGAGTCCCGCCCCCCGACGCCCCCGCCCCCGACGGCCCCGCCCCCCGACGGCTCGGGTTCCCACCCGAGATTAGGTGAACTGATTGGGGGTGGAGGAGAACGACGGTGCGGACAGCTCGCTCCCCACCGGCTCCCCCGCCTCCGCCGGCACCGCTTCGAGGTGCCTGGTCCCCTAGACCAGGGGCACCGCGCGTTTCCCGGGCGGTGCATGCACCCCAGACTCGAATGTCCTAAGGCAGGACTTTGGGTGAGCGGAACGGAAAGCGCTTCCTCCCCGGGACTCGGTTTCCGAGGTTGGGTCCTCTGGGTCGGGAATGCCTCGCCTCCGTGCCTGAGGCTGCCGTACCCGAGGCTTTGGGGGTCGTTTTTTCCCCCCACAATGTGGGGGCACAAGCGAGGTTCGCGTGCCATCGTCTGGACGCGATCCCTCCCAGGGGGCAAGGTCTGGTCCTCTGCCGCCGGCCCCCCGCCCCTCTCAAGCCCTCCCCTTTGTCTGGTCGAATGCGTCCCGCTCCTCAGCCCGGGTCTATGTCTGCGAGGTCCGGGCTCTTCGCGCTTTCCGCCTCGCTGCCTCCGACGCACCCCTGGCGTCCAGGCGGATCCGCGCGCCCCAGCTCCACAGCCGGGGTAACGGACCGCCGGGGATAGTGTGAGCCCCGAGCTTGCGAGGGCCGGGCCGGGGGAGGAGCTGGGCCCCGAGTCGGCCGTGGCGGCGGCGGCGGCGGCGGCGCACCGGACTCGTGCCACCTGTCCGAGTGCCACCTGGCGCGCGCGGGCCAGGCCCCGCCCCCGCGGCCGGGCGCGCGTCCCCGCGGCGGGCGCGCGTGCTCCGCCGGGGCGCCCAGGCTCCCGGCCCCAGGGTGCCGACCCGCGTCTCCAAGCGCGTCTCCTCGCCCTTCAGTGCTCCGAGGGACCGCGCGCGGACGGCGCCTCCCGGGGATCCTTGGAGCCGAGCGGCGAGCCACCATGCCGCGCTCCTTCCTCGTCAAGAGCAAGAAGGCTCACAGCTACCACCAGCCGCGCTCGCCGGGGCCCGACTATGCCCTCCGCCCGGAGACGGCGCCCGCGCCAGGCCGAGCAGGTGCGGGGCACGCGCGCGCGTCGGGCGGGTGGGCTCGCCGGGCGCCAAGCCGACCGTGGTTCGAGTCCCGCGTTTCCCAGGAGCCGGGCGGGGGTGGGTAGGAGGGGGAGGCGGCCCTGACGTCCCTCTGATGTCTGTCTGCTCGGGACAGTCGGGTTTCCTCCCGAGGCGGGGCGGTCAGGGCGCAGCGGGGGCCACGGGCTCGCGGGGGGGAGCTCAGCCCGGCCCCGCGTGTCCGTGACCCGCTCTCCCCCCAACGCCTCCCCGCAGACGGCATGCTGAGCGCCGGCGACGCGAAGGCGGAGGCCCGGGACCGTTCATCCCCGGAGTCTCAGCTTACCGAGGCCCCCGACGGGGCCTCACCATCCCCGGACAGCTGCGATGGCAGCGTGTGCGAGCGCAGCTCCGAGTTCGAGGACCTCTGGAGGCCTCCGTCGCCCTCCGCGTCCCCAGGTAGGGCCGGGGCGGGCCGGGGGGCCGCGCCGAGGGGGGGCGCCGCCCTAGCGCAGAAATGGTACCTGGGGACCATGCTACCCCGGAGGGAGGCCGCGGAGGGCGGGAGTGGGGCGTGGGGACCCCTGAACCCCAGGTTTGCGCCTTCCATTCGTTTGGATGGAGTGGGACGGGGAAGCCCGTGGCAGCGGAGGCGAAGTTTGGTTTTGCTGACCGGAACTGATCGTTTACACTGTGTTAGGACCCCAGAATCTGGGCCTCCCCAAACCTCCAAACCTCAATCAGAGGCAGGAGCTGAGCCCGCCAGGGCTAGGAGATGTGTGTGTGTGTGTGTGTGTGTGTGTGTGTGTGTGTGTGTGTGTGTGTGTGTGTGTGAAGAGAATCTCAGTCTTCAGCTCCGTCTTTGTAGGAACAGATGGGGGGCTCGTTGGGGTTTGATGGGCGTCGTGCAGAGGTGGGGGGGCGACTGCCCTCCCAACTGGGGTCCTTTCGGCGGGTCGACTTGTCCAGACGGCCGCTCCGCCGAGTGCGTCCAGGAGGCAGCGCGGGCCTCCACTGCGGGGCAAGGCCTGGGCAGCCGGAGCCCCGCCATCAGAAGCGGGGTGCGGCCTCTCGCTGAGCCTGAGAGTGCGACCGAGCGGACTAGGAAACGCTAAACGCCATCCCCAGGGTGGCGGCGTCCAAGCGCTGCGTGCCCTGCCCCGCACGCACCCCGCACCCCGTCAGACTGGGGCCAGGTGGGCGCTGGGAAGATCCTCACCCCCAGCTCCCTGACTGGACGCTTAGCAGGGAGGACCCCCGGGGCTTGCCTCCCCCGTCTCAGTCTCCCCCCCCCCCCCCCGCCCTTGTTCTCTCTTCTCTTTCCTTTCTACCATTCCTGGGACTTGAACTAAGGGCCTCAAGCGATCCCTGAGGATTTTGCTCTACCTCGTGAGCACGGCTCCCCTTCCGGCTTTTTTGAAGGTTCACTGGCGATAAGAGTCTCAAGGACTTTCCTGCCCAGGCTGGCTTTGAACCGTGATCCTCAGCTCTCAGCCTCCTAAGTAGCCGGGATTACGGGCAGAGCGACGGGCGCCCGGCCTCTTGCGCTTATTCTGAAATGCGTCTGATTAGAGCCTCACTTGACCGCCCCCCCCCCCCCCGCGCGCCGTGGCCCCGGGATCGCGAGGGAACCTGGAGAGGCTGGAGGGTCGTGGGTCCCCCGCCCTCTGGCACCGTCGGAGGCCGCGGGGCCACGGCTTTCCCTGCCCGCGCAGCTCAAGTCCGCGTGGTGCGGGGTCCCACGTGCTCCCCGCAGTCCACCCGTCTCTTCGCCGGGTCCCGCGGGCGCGTTTCTCCCCCGCGGCGCCTCCCCTGCCCCCCCCCGCCCGGCGCCCCCCGCCTCGCGGGCCCCGCACCGCGCGCGTTCTAACGAAGCTGGACGCGGGACGGTTAGCGGGCGCCCGGTGCGGGCTCCGAGCCGACGCCCTCCCTGTGCCTCCGCAGCGTCGGAGAAATCGGTGTGCCCATCGCTGGACGACGCCCAGGCCTTCCCCGTGCCCTTCAAGCCCTACTCGTGGAGCGGCCTGGCGGGCTCCGACCTGCGGCACCTGGTGCAGAGCTACCGGCCGTGCGGGGCCCTGGAGCGCGGCGCCGGCCTGGGCCTCTTCTGCGAGCGCGCCCCGGAGCCGGGCCACACGGCCGCGCTGTACGGGCCCGAGCGGGCGGCGGGCGGCGCGGGGCCCGGGGCGCCCGGGAGCGGCGGCGGCGGCCCGGGCCTGGGGCTCTACGGTGACTTCGGGCCCGCCGCGGCCGGGCTGTACGAGCGTCCGGCGGCGGCGGCGGGCCGGCTGTACCCGGAGCGCAGCCACGAGCTCCACGCGGACCAGGGCGCCGGCGTCAAGGTGGAGTCGGAGCTGTTGTGCACCCGCCTGCTGCTGGGCGGCGGCTCCTACAAGTGCCTGAAGTGCAGCAAGGTGAGGCCCCCGCGCGCCGCCGCCAGCCCCGCGCGCCCCGCCAGCCCCGCTCAGCCGCCCCGCTCAGCCGCCCCGCTCAGCCGCCCCGCTCAGCCGCCCCGCTCAGCCGCCCTCTCCCGGCCCCGCCCGCCGCAGGTCTTCTCCACGCCGCACGGGCTCGAGGTGCACGTGCGCCGCTCGCACAGCGGCTCCAGGCCCTTCGCCTGCGAGATGTGCGGCAAGACCTTCGGCCACGCCGTGAGCCTGGAGCAGCACAAGGCTGTGCACTCGCAGGTGAGCGCCGGGCGGCGGCCGGCTTCCCGGCAGGCAGGCCGCTAGGCAGGCAGGCAGGCAGGCAGCCTAGACTCTGGGGTCTCAGCCCCGTGCGCCCCGTTATTCCTTTTGGGGTGCGGGGAAGGTTGGTGAGCACGGATGCGAGCTGCACACACGTGTGGCTTTACCAGCCCCGATTCTGCTCCCCACGAGGGGGTCCCATCGTCTGCAGCGAGCGAAGGAGGGATCCCGGCCCACGCAACACCCGGGAGCCCCTCTGCCCGCCCTCCACTCGCTCATCACCGGCGGGTGCCAAGTTCTTGAGAATCCTATGGAACACCAGGCGCCCCGTGGGGATTGGAGCTTAGCTGGGATGGCGGGGGGGGGGGGGGGGAGAGGAACACAGCAGCGCACACAGAACTGTGTAGAGGGACCAGAGAATCGAGGGCACGAGGGACAGACGGCAGGGGGATACTGATTTACACAGACTTCCTAAAAGAATATCAGCCCCTCTCCTCCACCAGGACCCTCAGTGGGGGGGGGGGGGAGACCGGTGCTTGTTGAGGGCGGGGAGCAGCGTGTTCAAGGGGTGTCAGCAATGCAGGGTGGCGATGCACGTGCCTGCCACGGGTGTGGAGGGCTGTGGTTGAGTTGTGTTTTGGTAGCTGAAGCGTTTAAAGGCTGTGTGTTCAAGGAGAGAGCGAAGCATGCCAAGAATGGAAATGGACAGAGGATGGAGGGATAACATGCAGGTTTGGTAGCCAGGGGAGCCGGAGAGTTGGGGGCTCGGTTAGTTTAGAGTGCAGAGCCTGTGACTCCCAGCTGACAGACAGCAGGAGCGCGGCGCCTTCCCTCTGCAGGAGCGCAGCTTTGACTGTAAGATCTGCGGCAAGAGCTTCAAGCGGTCGTCCACGCTGTCCACACACCTGCTCATCCACTCGGACACCCGGCCCTATCCCTGTCAGTACTGTGGCAAGAGATTCCACCAGAAGTCAGACATGAAGAAGCACACCTTTATCCACACAGGTGAGCTGAAGGTCCTTGGCTCGATTTTCTGGCCCCGGCAAATGAGAGAGGAGGCTTTCCCATGGGAGTGAATCACAGCAGCAGTGGCAGAAAACAAAGAGACAGATTGTCTTAGTTTCATTCACAGATGCCGCTCTCCCCAGAGGGGACTTGATCTGGGGTTGAGTTGGAAGCACCAGCAGGTGAACGGGCTGTGCTCTATCCTGAGGAAAAGTATTTTCCCCTAGTTGCACTGCTCTGGGTGAAATAGCAAGAATGTTGCTACACGTTGAGGACGTTCTGTAGGGCTCCCACACAGCCTTTTGGGGAAAGGGCTTTGTGGCCTCTGCTGTTTTTATTTTACGGAGCACTTAACTCTGTTTGAGTAAGGAAAATTAGCTAATATTCGTAATATTTTTTCTAATGACCACAAGTCCAAGAGACAAAAACCATTCTTCACTCCCACTTTCAAGATAAGGAAAGTGAGGCACAGGAGGGTGGAATAACAGGTCCAGGTCAGACTGCTACATGGGTAGCCGCGGGCTCGAATTCAGTTCTGTCTCTCCTCTCAGATGTCTGTGCTTGACCGCTTTACCATGTTATGCTTTCAGTCATGAGAGTTGGCAAATACAGAACGCTTCTCTCTACTTTTTCTCCTTTCAAAACAGCATCAAATTCATGCCTGGCCAGGATAATTCCTTACCTACAGTCATGCTCTATAATTTACAAAGTGCTTTCAAATCTGTCATTTTGTTTGAGCTTTCCTGCCACCTCCTAAAGTAGATGGCATCTAGTAGGTCAGAGCCATTGCGTGATTTACTACAAGGAAAACATGGGGTCTTTGAGTGCTCTGGCTTCCAGTTCTAGCTCTTGCTTTAACACTTCATGTGCAGCTAGGTTTTTGTTTTGTTTTTGTTGTTGTTGTTTTTGGCACTGGATCTGGGGCTGTTTTGCTCAAGAATAGTGCTCTAACACTTGAGCTAGAGCTCCATTTCTAGGATTTTTTTGGGGGTGGGGGGTTGGTTAATTGTTTATGAGTTTCATGGACTTTCCCACCTGGGCTGGCTCTGAACTGCCATCCTTATGTCTCAGTTTCCTGAGTATCTAGGATGACAGGTGTGAATCACTGGTACCCTGCAAGTTAGAGATTTTAATGCCAGGAACTCATGGGCATTGGGCATCTTGGAGTGTATCTAAGAGCATTCCATTTAATAGTCAACAAGACATTGAGACTCAGAATCTGACTATTTTACTGCAGAATATGAATATTTAAAATAAATCAATGTGTCTCTCTCTCTTTTTTTTTTTTTTTGGTCGGTCGTGGGGCTTGAACTCTGGGCCTGGGCGCTGTCCCTCAGCTCTTCAGCTCAAGGCTAGCGCTCTACCACTTGAGCCACAGCACCATTTCCAAATCAATGTGTCTCAACACCCACTTTTGGTGTCTATAAATACGCTCAGACAGTAGATATTTGTATAAAAACAAATCCTGTTTTAATCATGCCCCCCCTCCCCGAAATTCCCTGCAGTTCACTCATTACACCTAAAAATGTTCAAGGCACTCAACAGAATGCAACTAGGATCCTGACTGAATGAAGCATTAAGCCCCCCCCCCCTCCCGTCAAACATAGCCAAACTTCATTTCTGGGATTTTTTTTCATAACCTAAACCGTTAAGATATATTTTGTTGGGTGATTACTAATCCCAGAAATCTGCAGCCTGAAGACCGAAGTGCAAGGAAGAGGGACTGGGGGTTCGTGTTTTATTCCCCCTCCCCTACGTCCCCCCCAGGCTGAGTCCCTACTCAGATGCCATGCTGGGGCTGTGTGGAAATGGATCCCACTCCTGTGCTGCTTGTTGGTCACTAATGTGTGGTAGACAAGCTGTTACATAACCTCCCAGGAAGAAAGGACAGAGAAAAGGATTCGCTATGCGGAGAAATACTGTGTGGCTCAAATAAGGCTTGGAGAAATGAAGGTCTGCGTCTCAGACACTTGGCCATCGAGGAGGAGGAGGAGGAGGAGGAGGAGGAGGGGGATGGGGAGGGGAAGGGGGAGGGGGACGGCTCCACGGGTCCACCCGAAACCAACACCCCCTCGGAAACTCAGATTTGAAAACTTCCTCTGACCTGGAGCCGGGTCACGGGGCTTGTGGGGCAGCTGCGCCCACCTCCTGCCGAACATCTGCTCTGGGGGCTCCCGGGCCGGCCGGGCGGGCGGCCCTGGCCGTTTCCGTTTGGCAGGAAATGGTTTGAGGCCTTTGGCTGGGAAGCCCCACTCGCAGAGTCTCCCACCTGCTGACCTGTGGCCTCCCACGGCCCAGGTTGCGGGAGGGGGGCGCAGCCAGCCGCTGCGGGGAGGCGCGTGGATCCCCCCCCCAACTCACGACCTCCTCCATCCCCGCAGGCGAGAAGCCCCACAAGTGCCAGGTGTGCGGCAAGGCCTTCAGCCAGAGCTCCAACCTCATCACGCACAGCCGCAAGCACACCGGCTTCAAGCCCTTCGGCTGCGACCTGTGCGGGAAGGGCTTCCAGCGCAAGGTGGACCTGCGCCGCCACCGGGAGACGCAGCACGGACTCAAATGAGCCGCCGGGCGCGGCCGCCCGCGGCTCCTCCACACTACCGGGGGTGGGGGCGGCCGGCCCGCTCGGGACCCCCCCAGCCCCTCACCCCGCTTCTCCCCGGCCCCTCCGCCCTCCCCTCCGTCCCCGACCGCCGGGGCCCAGACAGGGGCGCGCGACCCTCCCCACCCCGGGCCTCAGGCTCCCCCACACCCAGAGAGATGACAGAAGCCCCTCCCGCCGAGGGCCCTGGGGTGCTAGGGGGGCCGGAGGGAAGATCACCCTCTCTCCCCTCTGGAGAGAGCGTCGACCCTCGTGTGTTGGGTGCTGACTGTCCGTCGTCTCTGCATCTGGGGACCAGCTCGGAAATGGATTTGGGGAAGGAGTTGAATTCTTGGGGAGAGCACACCAGATGCTTGCCCCCCACCCCAGACAGAAAGCAGCAGAAAACTCAGCCAGAGGCCTGCAGGGGAGGCAGACCCGCTGGCCGGTGCACCCCAGCCAATGAGAGCAGGGAGCGTGGGGACCCAGAGGTGAAAGCCGCAGCTCCTTCCTCTCCCCACCCCAAAGCTAAGGGTGGCACCTCCCAAGTGGCTGAGGTCTGTTCTTTCCCTCCAAGGAATTCTGGGAACAAGAGAATCTCGAACCCTTTGGTTCTTATCAAATCTAAACAACAAGGAGCTGAAGAGTTACTTCAAAGATTCATGTACATATCCAGTTTTATGGTGCAGCTGACATTGTTTTTCAGATGTCTGAGCTGGTAGGCATGTGGAATCCTTTGTCTCCCAACTCCCCCCCCATTCCCCCCAACACCATAGAGGGGGAAAAATGGTATTTTTACTTTGATGAGATTTGTAAATGTTTTTGGATCTTTTGCAGTGCATTATGTTTGTTAGTACATATTTATTAGAGTAATGTTTTAAGTTAATAAAGTATTAAGACTATTGTCTCTCATTTAGGCAGTGAACTTGGGAAAGACCATTGCTTTGTTTTTGTGTTGCTTCATTTCATTATTTTTCTGGGTGGCAGAAGCTGGCACTGAAGTGTTAAAAAGGCAAAGCAGACAAACGGATATCCAAAGACAGAGAATACCTTTAGAGATGTTTCTAAACGGAACAGTTAGGAGACCCTGGTGGTCCACAGGTACATCAGCTCTTCCCATGAGAATTTCAAGTTTGTTTGTTTGTTTGTTTGCAGGGCTGAAGATTCCTAGATAAGAAATCAGACTTGCCACCAGAGATTGGATTCTTTAGGCTCTGTCACAGATAGAATATGTGACGGGCAAATCCTTTGACATCTCTGAGACCACAAGGTGTGGATATGGGTCCTGTTGTCCCAATCCAACTCTGACTACTTTGCTTCCACAGAGAATAGGGAGGAGGAAGAAGTATGCAATTGGCTAGCTGGTTGTGTGGGAGCAAATTACAGAACTACGGTGAAATGACCTAGGTTATTTGTTTTTTTGGGTTGGTTGTGGGGCTTGAACTCTGGGCTTGGGCTCTGTCTCTGCGCTCTTCAGCTCAAGGCAAGCGCTCTACTGCTTAGGCCACAGTGCCACTTCCGGTTTTCTAGTGGTTTATTGGAGAGAAGAGGCTCACAGCCTTTCTTGCCCGGACTGGCTTTGAATCAGGATGCACAGATTTCAGCCTCCTGAGTAGTTAGGATTACAAGCATGAGCCATGGGCGCCCAGCTTAGTTATTTGTTGTTCTATACCAACCATATCTCCTTTAGGAGAATAAAACCAGAGTAAGGTCTTGACCTAAATCCACACCATTTGCCATGATATATATGGCCCATCATGACTACCAGGTGATGCTCCTTTGCCACTCTATTTCCACACACCGCTTGAGTCTGCAGCTGTAAGTGGTGAGATTGCCTAGCTCAGTTTATTTGGTCACTGTTGATTTGTCAGCCCCCACAACAGTGCCTGGCACACAATCAATGATTGCTTTATCCCGTGGGCCTACTCTACTCTGCAGCTCAAAAGTTTGAGAAGTTGCTTGAGTAGTAGGAAACAAATAGGCACATAGGACTTCTGTTGTGGTGGTGTTGGTGGTGAGGGCAGGGATTGAACTTGGGGCCTTTACAAGCTAAGGTGCTTGCTATACAGCTGTGCTACTCCCAGCCAGAGACTTTGTGAGTTGGTGATTCAGGGAGGTATGATGGGGCTTTGCTCTAATCCCTCTAAATCTCTGTCCTTGTAGACCCTCTCCCAAACCAGTCTATTCTCATTCAGAACTTAAATTTGTTTACTCTGCAAGTGCAATTTAAGGTAGTTTTTCAGAACAGAGGGGTGATAGATGGGGCATCTGGGAACCACTTCATAACATCCTGCCCAGCAAGGCAAAGCCACAGCGGATAATGCAAAACACCTCTCCCCAAGGGCCTCCACGCATGCGGTTGGTTATGGTTGGTTATTTTCAACCTGGTTTAGAAAGCAAATTGTACTGAGGGGTGAATTGAACTGATTGAAATCTCTGAGTCTCTCTTCTCCTGGCTCTCTCTGATGATATTTAAATTATTTGGCCCATTTTCATGTTCCCTATCTATGTTATAAACAAGGAGTTTTTTGTTTTTGTTTTTTTTTGTTTTGTTTTGTTTTTTGAGACAGGCTCTCACTATGTAGCCCCAGGCTGGCCTTGAACTCACAAACCTTTTAACACAGGGTCCTGAGTGCCGAGATTACACCATTTTCAGTCTAGGAGCTGTAATTTTAATGTTAATTATATGTCTTCTTTGGATAGCCATTATCTTGCTTTCCCTGGTTCAGAATCAAAACAAATTACTGTGCCTGTTACTGTGTGAAATTTGAAGATTGCAAATATCTCTTTTAATGTTATTACTTGGCTCCATTAAAAATACATTGTGAATATTCCATGTCACATTATTCATGAGGCAGGCTCTATGCCTTTTGTCTGCCGGAGTAACAGGAGAAACAGTAAGGAGAGACACCAGAGCACACCTTTGTTTCTTTCACTAAATTTTTAATAACACCTCCAGCTAGCCAGTTGGTGAAGCTCAGCTCTTGCACAAAAGTGGAAAAGCACAGCTATCTCTTGAGAAGCTCGGCTCTTTCAGGAGCTAATTTGAGTTTGTGTTCATCTACACCAGACAGGATTAAATTACCTATCAAGTGTGCTGAGCTATCAGGATTCAGGCCACGTAAAAGGTGAATTTCATCTGATTGATTTGAGACACAAATGGAACAATTTTTTTAAAGCTCCGCCTTAATTAAAGGGACAGCAAAGTATCACTGTGCTGTGACTGCTATCAGCCATTGCCCTTGGAACTGGGTATCGATAGTGATTTGACCTGTCTTCTTGACATGTGCCTATTTAACCTGATTACTCCAGGGCAGCAAAGGAAGACGGAGCAGACGGACCTCCTTCACCACATCTTACTATAGGGGTCTAGTATGATGTGTATAAATTTGTGCTGCTCTATTATCTCTGTAGTGAAGACTTTCCTGGAAGTTCATTTATTTTTGAAAAACAATTTTTAGTTTGTTAAATCATCTTAAAAAACATTAATCAAAATTTACCCAAAGCCCTTCTAGCTTTAAAGTTTATTTTTGTAGTGCTCCTTTCCAGTCTTCTAGTGTGAGCTTATTTATATTTTATATTTTTTAACCTGTGAACAGTGTATTTATAACTTGTCTAGATAGCTCTTTACCATTTGGACACATACGTAGATGTATTTCACAATGAGCATTTGAATTTTTTTTTTTTTTGGTCGGTCATGGGGCTTGAACTCTGGGCCTGGGCACTGTCCCTGAACTCTTCAGCTCAAGGTGAACGCTCTACCACTTGACCCACACAGCACCACTTCTAGTTTTCTGGTGGTAAACTGAAGATAAGAGTCTCACAGACATTCCTTCCCGGGCTGGCTTTGGACCTCGATCCTCAGATCTCAGCCTCCTGAGTAGCTAGGATTACAGGTGTGAGCCACTGCCATCCAGTTTTTACCTACTTTTTAAATAACATATCTTAAGCACATTGGAAAGAGAGATAGAGAGCAAGAGAGATAGAGTGCTTTGTTCTTTTTCTCCTATTCATGAAAGAATCCAAATTTGCAAGGCTTTTTTCAAGCCTGAGTCTGTTTTAATGTAGAGGAGAAACAAAAGCAGGAAGTTGGATTTTCATCTTGATGCTAGTTTTACAAACTCCATTGAGTTTTTTTTTTATTTTGAGTAAATTCGGAAGCCTGGTTTCAATTCTTCCTTTTCACATGAATTAGACAGTTTCCTGGGTTGCCCTTTCTGAGCAGCAGCAGTGATGGACGCCTTTGCACGGCTGGCCCCCGCGGCACTGTTCGCTCACTCTAAGGTGGCAAGCAGGACTCATCTGGACTATACGTCAAGAGATTTCATGAAGTCTCCACTTCCTCTTTTCCCATACTAAAGCCACTCTGCACGGACTCTGTCAGAAACATGCGTGACAAGCCCTGAACTGGGCCTGGGGACCCACTGTCGCATGTCAGCTCCCACCATCTTTATGACTTCTTTTCTGAGCCATTATTGGTTACATCCTGTGTGTAGGCACGATGTAAACGAGCACATAAAACAAAAATTAGAAGACTTTCAAAACTCTTTTAAATCCAAAGGTTCTTTGATTCTCAGATCCTCTTTTTCTACATGGACAAGACAACTTTCTAGGCATGTTTGAAGTGTGTCCAACCAAGTCCTTCACTCGGGAAGGATGGGCATGATTGTGGATTTGGTTCTGTGTACTATATAATGAGTATCTAATGAAAGCAAATCATACTTGCAAGCTGGTGTCCATGGCTCACAGTATAAACCTAGCTACTCAGGAGGCTGAGAGCTGAGAAACGCAGTTGAAAGCCAGCCCTAGTAGGGAAGTTTGTGTGACTCTTACCTCCAGTTGAACACCAAAAAAGCCAGAAGTGGCTCAAGTGAAGGAGCATTATCCTTGAGCAAAAAAAGGGACAGTGTCTAGGCCTCGAGTTCAAGCTCCAGGATCAGCACACACACATACACACCACACACACACACACACACACACACACACACACACACACACACACACACACACACAAAACACACACACACAGACTTAAGCAAAGTCAAAAATCACTAAAATCTTAATTTTTATTTTATGATTTACAATTGTGTGTGTGTGTGTGTGTGTGCGTGCCAGTCCTGGGCCTTAAACTCAGGGCCTGGCCACTGTCCTGGGCTCATTCATTCATTCATTCATTCATGCTCAAGACTAGTGCTCTACAACTTGAACCACACCCTCACTTCAAAATTTTTAGTGGTTAATTGGAGATAAAAGTATTAAGGACCTGGGCTGGGAGCATGGCTCAGTGGTAGAATGCTTGCCTTGCATGCATAAGGCCCTGGGTTTGATTCCTCAGCACCACATAGGCAGAAAAAGCTGGAAGTGGCACTGTGGCTCAAGTGGTAGAGAGCTAGCGTTGAGCTGAAGAGCTGAGGGACAGCACCCAGGCCCAGAGTTCAGGCCCCAGGACAAAAAAAAAAAATGTCTCAAGGTCTTTTCTGCCCAGGATTTGAACCTCAATCCTTAAATCTCAGCTTTCTGAGTAGCTAGGATTACAGGTGTGGGTCACTGGCACCTGACTTGGAGTCTATTTGAAGGCTTAGGTCAGTCATTCTTGGGTAATAGCATTATTGGCCATGATAGCTCTGCTGCCGCCTGACACTGGTATTGGTTCCCATTTCAGGCACATGAGAGGGTCAGCTGTGCACTGGGAAGCTCTTTGCAGCCCACAAGCCCATGTCACGTGTCCCCTCTTCCTGGCTACCCACCCACATTCTTGAGCATCACTAAAGATACCCAAGGGACTACAGGGACCATCCTTTCTGCTGGTTGCTGTTGGTCCAAGCCTGGGAGATCTCAGGTGTGGAAAGTGGTTGTGAAGATTTCTGGGCAATGTTCTCTCTAATAAATGGAAACAGAATTGTTTATTTAAA